TCTTGCATAAGTGCTTAGAAAAACTTAAAGGATGAAGATCTATAGTTAAGTGATTATTTTGAAGATTTATAACTTATTCGAACTATAATTGAAATTTTTCTAACTATCTTTTGTGGAACAGTTAAAACAATTGTTTACTGGACATTGTTTTGTTAAAGTATTAACATTAGAACCATCAAGTATTTAATATGATCAATACATAATGTTCATAAAAAAGACAACAATAAATCTTTTTAAGTTTCCTCAGATGTTCAATAACTGTTCAAGCAAAACTATTCATTTTTATACGAATTTTGGGTGTTACATATTCTTATATCAATAATTACAAAACTGAGAAATCCGAAAGCAGTCATTGTGACTAACACATAGTTCTAACGTTAGACAGCAAATAACTATTGAACAAAAATGTAAAATTCGAAGTCTGCGAAGAGTATGCAGTTTTAAAGGTTCGGATGCTGCGAGCATGCACATGTAAACAACGTAAACGCTCGTGCATCACGTGTGCAATTAACCACACATTCGCATGTGGTGCCCACGTGTTTGCCCAAAACGAGCAGAAAATGGTGCTGCCGACGCGCTGCAGAGTTAATCCTATTTTCTCACTGTCATCGTCCTAATCGGACTCCTAATCTTTTCTCATCACTCCCATTTAATTCTAGTAATCCACTAACCACTCCAATGTAATTTTATTAAACAATGTTCATTACGTCTGTAGGTTATGCATCGTATCCTATTACTTTGTACGAAATACAGAATTAATGATATTTTTCACTTTTATGTTTTCTATATATAGGCTAATGATAACTATTATATTCTCAATTGTAAATTTATAACTGTAGATTACACACACTACTTAGGCACAGAACTTTCATCAAATTAACTTTTCTTTCAAACAAATACTACTTTATAAATCTTACGCTACACTATTGACACGTTAAATGGCGTGTCGGTCACCAATGACCGACGCTTCTAAATTGTTTGACAAAAAGTACAATATGCAAAATGACTGCTGTTGACTAAAAATATTTAATAACATACATAAGTTAACAATAGTGTAATGCAAGAATTCCGATGCCAAATAATTAATAACTATTCCTATTTACCTTTGCTACGAAGGAATAAATCATGTATAAAACGTTCAAGATTCTCGTGACGCTTAACGTGTTTTCGAAGTTTCACCTTCTTAATCAAAGTAGTCGTTGAATAATAATACATGACTGATTACAAATAAAGAAACACATTGAAAAATGGCAGAAAGTTACGAAGACAATGGGCAATGCGAACAAAGATGCCAAAACTTGTGTTTAAAGCGATTCAGAACACAATGAACACAAATAAAGCTTTCGTAGCCAATGCGATAGAGAAGCAACCACGAAATTCATTTCTATCGAGATCGCGGACATATTTAGCTGGTTTATTTTAGGTGAGATACTCTGTATTATAATGAGAATTCGGACAAACGTTTTCGGCTCGGTCGTAGCTGCGGTTCCAATACCTTCATAAATTTCCTGTTGCCGAAAAATTCCCACAAATTGCCGTCGTCAAGAGGGATGATTTAACGGTCACTCCTTATTCGTGTAACGGTGCAATTAGGTGGTTGCTTTTAGAGATCGTTTGGTCATTCGATGCTCAAGCTTTGCTATCTTTCATCTCGACTAGTATAAGCCAGACACGTGGCAGACGTGATTTCGATTCTCCCTGGTCCTCCGCGTTTCGTATTGTGAGGGCGGACCTACTACCGCGTTTCACTTCAAACGAGCGTTTTATACAGAATGTTTAAGAAATATGTCGCGTGAATTAACCCCCTATTGCATTCCGTTCTCAATCGAAAATTGAACCCTTTATGTTCCAGAGGCTCCACTACGGCACCATTCATAGTATTAACCCCTTGCTTTATGATTTATTTCTTAACCGATACAACTACTTTATCGTTAATAATATATTAAGAAGAGAAAGAATTTTAATGCTTCTTCTGTGTCTACATTTACTCAAAAGCTTAACGTTTGATAATAGGAAAGTAATATTTAATTTATACCTAAAAAGAATAAATATCATTTAGATTTCTGAAATTCACTTGAAAATCAAAGAAATGTCAGAATATAACATTTTTTCATTTTCGCCAGTGGTAATATGAAAATGCCTCGCAGTTTCTGATAGTTCGAAAAGTCGGTTGGAGCGGTAATAGTTAATTTCAAATGTTCTATAGTTTAATAAGTTACACAATATTACAAATTTTGAACATGTACCTGTATATGAATGAAGTTCCTATATCTGAACAGTCATTAAATGCAATGAATAACAATGTTTATTAATATTTTCTTATTTCTTTCATTATCACACCAACATTTAAGTAGAATGACAGTCATATATTTTTGTTCAACTCAGAAAAATTTATGCAATAGGGAGTTAATACTAAGACCATACTAGGATCGGGCCAAATGACTGAATTTAAAGTTCGGCGTTTTTTTCGTTCATTTAACTTCATATCAATTCCTATATTGTCCGATTAATCAATTCTTCCATTTTTGTCTTTCCTTTGTTTCTGTTTTCACTAAGAAACATTGATCACTTAACTTGTTTACCTTACTTTTGTAGCCAGTTATTTGACCGGTTACGATAAGAGTAAGTGTCTATAAAATGCCGGTACGGTTAGTGTTAAACCGTGTTCTCAGTGAATAATGTTAGGGGAGTGTCTAAGACCTTTATCTCATCAGTGGAGGGTTTTAACCCCTGTTTTAACACGCGGCCACTGTCCGCTGTATCTACTTCGACAATTAATCGTGTTCGCGGACGAGCATGATATGATGTATCGCGTGTTCGCAGGTATTCTCAAGAGGCACACGCGTGCGAACGATGCACTTGAGTACGTCCTCGTGGGCGCATATCGGCTCGATCGTATTTACGATGTGCGTCGAAAGGATCGGGCTAACCCGAGCGTAGAAACCGGCGCGATTTGCGTCTTGTGCTGTAAGTTGAATTCATTCGAACGATTTTAATAACTGATTTGCGGATTTTCATGCGAAATCGTGCCTTTAAGAATGTAAGTAGAAAAATAGAATTACGATGGAAAATAGTTTTTCTTAATAATGTAAAAAGCATTACACTTTGGATATTTTATTCCAATTTTCGATGAATGCATACAAAGCCGGAGTCTATTAATAACAATGAAAGAGATGTTGATATCAACATTTAATTAATTTTAAATCACTATATCATTTTCACTAATATTTTCGATTATCTTATAAATACTATTAAAAAAGCCTAGACACTTCTGTTCTAAATTGATGATACAAAACAGCATGAATAAATATTAAGCTACATAATCATATAATAAATTAATCTAGGATTGAACTTCGTGAGCATGAAATCGATGCACATGTGTGAAACATTGCTTTGATTAATCGGGTTTCTTGGTCATAGATTTTATAAATAGAAATTAAATATATCTGATCTAATTGTGCGTTTTTTTTATAGAGATTATATGGCTCAGATGTAAATTATTACTACTTGATATACATAATGAGCTAACATGCAGTTTGATGAAAAGTAGGCTATAGTGAGTGGATGGACAGACATATAAATTTTCATGTACTAATTTACAGGTATTTGAATAGAAACTTTTTTACTTTGCTAATGATTATGGTGGCTTCGAAATAAAATAAAAATTTCATCCGACTTTCGAAAATCTGTTGCAATACTTCATTTTTTAAAATTACATATACGCTGTCAGTTTCTATAACCCTTATGTATTTTTAATATTTTTAGCCTCGAAATTTTTTAGTCAAAATCATGCTTAAACGTTACCTAAGATTTCAGTAAAACTTATGCTGTAATAAAAACATTTTTCAGAAAATACTTTTTTCAGAATGTTGTATCAAACAAATAATAAGATACTTTTAAACTGTAGATGCTGGTAAGTAAAACTTCAATTCCAAAGAATGTTCATTATACAGCTACAACTTTTACGTTAAACGACCCTTGAACAATTTTTCTTTGGTGTGTTTTATTTACAGTGAAGTAAGCACACTACTCGAAAGTCTCATTTATCAGATCACTGAGCTGTGCTACAAAATTTTGAACATCACTGTAATTGAAGGATCAGAAACTACAGTTTTTCGATACAACATGTACCCAAGTTCAAATACTCAATTTCTTTTCAATTGTAAAACAGTGATCCGTGAAGTGTATTCTGTACTTCATTTAAAGTTAAAATATCGATTCAAGCAACGAATTTGTTTATGAAATTTGACACACCATATCTTACATTTACGAAATGAATTATATATAACATTTCATATAATCAAATCTACTAAAGCTGTACTTCATCAGTTTCCAACGAAACAGTAGTTCTAACAGAATTTTACTGTTTTGACTACTAATAAGTATTCAGATATTCTAAATTACTTAAGCTTTAATTAATTGAATATTTTACCTAATGTATGTAGAATATAAAAGAATTTCTTTCCAAGTTTGACTTAGTGTGAAAGAATAGAAATATAATAAATATTGAACGAAACATTAAAGAAAAAAGATAAACATTGAATATTATTCAACGTGAGAACAATAAAAATATTAAGCTACATTATTTAGAGAACCATGAAATAATATTTATCAAACAATACAAAAGGAATTAACACTCAACAAAATATCCATCAAAAAAGATTAAAAATGATTTCATATTCATTTATATGTATAAATTCAAATTAGAAAACTACAATATAAACTCACATTAAATAAACAAAACAGTGCGTACTTATCAAATAAGTACACGAGATTCAAATTTCAATTACATTTTAAAATATCCAATACTAAAAAAATAACAATTACACAAGCACATTTTAATAAAGAAAAATGTCGTGCCTGGTCTTTACGAAACTGTCAACACTATAAGGCAGACGCTCGTGTTTACAAACTGATTGCAGCACGTTGTCATCAAGGGTTATCGTTCGGAACTGAACTAGCGACTATTAATCGCGCGATAAGATTTAAACGGCACTCACCTTGCTCAGAAAGGGTGTCCCGACGAGATGTGATACGCAGGTGATCCCTTGTGGCTCGTCCTTACGTGAAGAGAACCGATGTAGCACTGACAGTTCCACCATCCCTCTCTCCTTGATCGCGCGAAATCCCACTCTGCTTAGCCCTACGACTCCCTCTCTCCGTCCTTCTCCCACCAATTGGCTGCTGATCACTAGACAAGGACTAAACGAACGTCCAGGGCTGACTGTCAAAAGGAGTCAACATAGAATGACATTCCTAGTATCGATGTATACGAAAATTTGTTACCATCCTGCAGTCACTATTGCTATTAATAATATAACATTAATGAATAATTTTATATCTTGTATAGATTAAAAAAGAAAATTATTTGATTAATTGCTATTAATATTATAATAATCGTTATATATATATATTAATGATATATAAGTTTTAAGCTTGGTAATATATAAAATTGTTCATTAATATTGTATTATTAATAGCAATAGTGGTAGTAATATAACGTGTAGAACAGACTGTCAAAAGGAGTCAACACAGAATGACATTCTTAATGTCGATGTATACGAAATATTGTTATCATACTGCTGTTACTATTGCTATTTATAATATAATATTGATGAATGATTTTATATATAATTAAACTTAAAAATTGATTTAGAAAACATTGATTTAAAGGAATTTAGTTAACGAATATACATTCTGTAATATCTTCCAGTATATACACTGCTCCACAAAATTAAAAGATCCTAGTCGTTACTGAAGAACTGTCGACCTTTGAACTGCTGTAGCTTCATAACATAAAGTCATATCACATTCTGCGTGGGCTCATTTTAAAGCGTGGAGCTACTAGTTTGACGTCCCACATGCCATTTTTTCCTGCGATGTTTACTCTTTACGTAACAAATATAAAAATAGACATACTTTTTCGTTTTCAAAATTATACGAATTTAAAGGTCTCCCCAGATAAGAACAAAATTTAGAGCCTCCTTTTTGCAACAACTTCTTAAAACTCGACGTGGGACTTTTTCCCTTATCCTATCAGACTTTAAATGAAAAAATTCCCTCCAGTGATAGACAATTTTTCGATTACATCTTAATATACCTTTAATTTTATAAAGCAGTGTATTTTCCAAGTTTTAATGGGTACATTAATTGGCAAAGCTTATGAAATAGATATATACAATAAAAATTATGAATAGATACACGTAAGAAAGCGAAGACTTTATACAATTAACTAAAATATTACTATAATTAATATTATATTATAAGAGTTAATGATTAAATGAATTGATATCAATGCAGATAGGTACCGTTGATGGTAGGAGAGTTTTGAATTTATTTAAAATCACTTAATTTGCGATGATGTTAATATTAATTAATTGCGATTAATCTCGATGATCTATTTATAGTTATCGGAGGACATTGGATAGTGGAGTCCCGACTGCGGCTTTAGGTTCCACTAGGATTTACGACATAAGTCACACTTCTATCCCTATAAGGCTTCGTCTACGAACCCAGGTGGAACAGACGGACAGGTTGCTCGTCGAAATGATCGATTGCGAAGCTAGGAAGTATCGCTGGTGTAATGAGCTCATATACAACCTGTCTTCTTCCAATTTATATATGGTTGTACTTATGTAGGTATGTATATAAATTTCGTTTTTCTTGCAGGCTACTTCTGGTGAAGAATGATTAAACGACTCTTTGAATTAGTTATCACTTACATTACTTACCAAAAAAATATGTATAAACTTATTTAAGTATTAGGGAGACTGGAAAGAAATTCATTATTTTTAGTCTCAACGGGAAACTTTATTATTTTATATAAATTTTTAAATATTTAGCCAAAAAGTAGATTTGAAAAAGTGAATCTCTAAATGGGAAACTGTCTTAAGAAAAGAACAAAATTATATTTTGGAATAATACTGAAAAATTTATATGAAATAATAAAGCTTTGCGTTGAGACTAAAAATCTCTAAAGCTTACTAGATAATACTAATAATGTAACAAGAATAATATAATTTTAATCATTACAATTATGCAGTATAAATCTATTATACAATGACTAATAGAGGAAATATTATGAAAATATTTTTGTTTTTCTGTTTGTAATTGTAATTTGTTAATTTAAATGATTTAAATTTATTCTTTCAAGAAGAAGGTTACAAGCAATAAAGGTATCACCTACCAGACAATTCACCGTATTCTCGGTCAATGTGTTTCGCTCAGCAAGAAAGGCACACGTCGGCTTTGAATCAAAGACTAGTCCCGCCTTAATTGGCAAAATACTGATTGCTCAAGCGGTTAAATGCATTAACGATTCAGAGCATCGTCTAGTTTTCGTTAAACATGCGACGATGCCCCTATCCATACGAAGTTCGGAATAGACTAATTTAAGATAAGTACACTTTGTGTGTCTTCAACATTCACATCATTGCCATTAAAATAATTCCACGCTTTACAATTATAGTATTTATCTAACTAGATTTATACTATATTTTAGTAATGTTTAGCAATCTTGAATAATCTTAAATAGTATTTAGTAATTTTTAGCAATTTTCAATAACCCTAAGTAGTATTTTTCAATTTTTAGTAATCTTGGATAGTACTTTATTAATCTTCAGCAACTTCGAACAGGGTAAATCGAGGACAATCGGATCACATGATGAATCAGATTGACATAAGAATCCAGTCCAAATTTGTTGTATCCTAAATTATATTTCTGTTTTTTTGTATTTTATTTGCTAAAGAAAAACTACAAAATTCTTTTCCGTTTTTCATCATTAATGTTCAAGTATTTTTAGTTCTCTGATGTCAAATAGAAAATTATCCGATTTGCCTGGGTCTGCTCTACTTGCTTCACTCGTCTCTTAAAAAATACAAAAATTCTAATTTCTTCATAAACATTTTTCATTCTCAATAAAATACTAATATTTAATCCGAATTATAAGTACAAATGTTATCATTTACACATACGCATTAAAAAATATTATTCTAATATACTGAGTGCACTAAATTCCATAAATTCTATTACACCTATTTTAATTCTTCTGCTGCGTTTAAGACATAGTAAAAGTATTCAATTTAGTTGTAATAAATAGACGATGATGAATCTTACAATTCTATTTTCATTCATTTCTCATAGTAGTGTGATATGTATTGACAATAACGGTCGGTGGGAAGTAACAAAGTGGCGAGGAAAGAAGGCGTATAATAAAAAGAAGGCTACAACAATTCTCCATTTTAACATTTAGATTTGATGTATTCAATCGATGATTAAGCGCACGAGTCATCGAGCAGCTTACAATTCTAATCTGCTATACATACACCCACCTTTGAAATCTCTGAGAGTCAGTGTCGCAGATAATCGCTGCCTTTAATCGTTAATTACAGGCGTATTGTCTTTTTTCTTTCAACAAGATACTAGTCGAAAGTAAAGCTGAAACCAACATTTCCTTTCAGCCTTTAACATAATACTTTAATTGAAATATTAAATATTAAATATTAAATATTAAATATTAAATATTAAATATTAAATATTAAATATTAAATATTAAATATTAAATATTAAACATTAAATATTACCTCTAAACTGGGCATATTCAAAGGATTCAGATTCATAGATCAATCCACAAAACCAGTAACAACACAAATGCCTATCAAAACTGCACATTAAAATTACCAACTGAAAGCTACTAGTAAAACTTCATTATAAACAATAATCAAACATAAAATCTAATACCAGCA